TCCTACCCTTCAAACCGAAACGCATTACTACTTCACAGCAGAAATAGGCAGGGTGGTATTACTTACTCGTGCGGACTCACAAGAGTCCTATCACCAGTAGAATATATCTTTCTTATACTCAACGTAAGATAGAATCAGAAGCAAGGTCCAGTTTATGAAAGTTTTAGTCCTAATTAGTATTTTTTTATTTACTGTGGCCCCGATAGCGAGTTTCTAGAATGTACAGTATCGACAGTGCGTTCCCAGAGGTCTTTTTTTATCACGTACCATTCGGCTATGGAGCTCCCCTCCACGGTGTTTCCCGAGCGCTATGACATGTCCTTCTTCAAAAGAGGCTTGTGGAGAGTATTTAGCGGTAGGCAGCGGCTTGGCTCTGCCCCTGGCGTTGCTGAAGTCCATGGCCGGTAACCACTCACCATCTGGTGGGCCGTATGCTCATATATATAATAATATATACCAATCATGAAATCCTTCAGAATGTATTTTGCATGTAGTTAACTAGCAGTCTTTTGTTTGAGTGATCCATTCAGACATTTACATAGACCGCAGCTAATTTTATTAAAAGTCAATATCATTACGCACAATAGATTTAGAGATCACAATTGACTTGTGCATGAATCCCACTTTGACAATATTGATGTTTCTCAATATCAAGAAATTAATGAACAATACGGATTTTGCTGCAGATAAAACGATTAAGCCATATAAACGATTAAGTCATTTAATGATGCGTACATAATCCGTTATGTACGCATTATTAAATGACTAACAGACCATATGAACGATAAGGTGAATGATACCAGTTATCTTGAGATAATATAAGGTCGAAATCTTAATGATAATTTACAATAGGTACTCTACGCTTCAAAACGGAAAGCGTGATAGATTAGCAGTAGATACATGGAAGGGAAATCGCAGTTGATAGAAGACTTTTGAAACACATTATCTCTTTGAAATTTTATTAAAAAATCTTACAATTTATCACAATGATGCACAATTAATATACATAATTATTAATTTATTTACAGTCAAATAAAGCACCGATATGTCTAGATTTTTTTGTTCATAATTTATATTTAAATTTCGAATGGTCATTGAAATAATACATTGAATAAATAAATGAAGAAAAAAAACGTAACAATAAATTGTATTTTAAAATTACGTAATCAAAAGATAACAGCTACTACTGTTTTTTGTTGTAACAATCAATTTAAATAGGCGTCAGTCCACAAAAACAAAATAGATTAAAAATCAAGTTACACTTTACAATGAACAAAATTTACCCTATGACTATATTGTTTAACATAATGTTTAATAAATAAATAATTAACATTATTTATATGACACCAACAACTTCTTTATAACAATGAATATATATATATATATATTTGAAACAACGGAATTTATCCAAACGAAATATCCTCTTTAAGATTACACGTTAACAGTGGCTTTAAAAATACACTTTATAAATAACTAATAATATGTAATTAATAATGTATTTAATTTTAATTACAATGACAGGTTGTGCAATTTGTTATTGTTTAAACGCGAATTATATGCTTGATGCTTTTGATACAAGGATATGCGTCAATTTGTAAGAATCATACATACAAAGGGACCAATTTATCAAATTACGTACTAATTACGTACGTAATTACATTTTATCATAAATCGGTAATGAATATTACTTCTGTAACTATGTGACAGGATATTGATTTTACAAAAATAAATAATAAAATTTATACGTCTTGTATTATGTATATATTAAATAACTGTATATGTATTGAAATTTACGACCAAAATACACCGTTCGAACACCAAATAAATATATCTTTCACAAAGACATCGGCTCCGACCGCAAATCAGATTTGTTTTTTTTTATGGCTTAGGTGTATGAACGAGTTCACAGCCCACCTGGTGTTAAGTAGTTACTGGAGCCCATAGACATCTACAATGTAAATGCTGTCACCCACCATGAGATACGAGTTATTAAGGTCCTAGAATAGTTACAACGGCTGCACCACTCTTCAAACAGAAACTGATTACTACTTTGCGGCAGAAATAGGCAGGCTATTGGTACCTACCCGTGCAGACCCACAAGACGTCCTACCACCAGTAATTACGCAAATTATAATTTTGCGGGTTTGATTTTATTACACGATGCTATTCCTTCATCGTGGAAGTCAATCGTGAATATTTGTTAAGTACGTATTTCACTAGAAAAATTGGTACCCGCCTGCGGGATTCGAACACCGGTGCATCGCTACACACGAATGCACCGGACGTCTTATCCTTTAGGCCACGACGACTTCAAAATGTATATAAGTCATAAAGACGTACAACCAGTTATATTTTTAGTTTAAGATTGTTGTATCGTGTACTATATCATTGAAACTTGCTGTCATATTTACCTGAATTCTAGTGCTTAAAACGGCCCGTTTTCATTATTTTACAGTAATAAACAATTTTAAATTCACCTTTATTTTTTATTCTGTCCCTTGTCTTACCCTTTACCTTATTTTGTCAGTATCTACATCTACAGCAAAACCCTTAGCTTTGACGTTAAATTTGTCATCGTTAACATTTTAATATCAGTTTTTATTTGCATATTTTTCTTACCCTTAAAATATTACCTTACTTCTGTCGTAATTTTTGATATTATTTTAGGCCCATTATTAGGTTTTATTCGGACGAAATATATTTGGAATAACGATTATCTTGAATTACTGATACAACATATTACAAAATATATTATTATAAAGTATCTTATGACAATATTATATACAAATAAATTTATGCCCTAGATTTAAAGTCTTAAAACTCTAATTTCAATTAACACAATTATTTGTATTGAAGATTAAATACAGTATAATATAGTAAACCGTGAAATCGAAGTGATATGAAGACTGTAGTACTCGGTGATATGTGAATTATATGTATGAGAAAAACTATTAATAGTTACAATATTATAATTACATTTTTGTTAAATTGCAAATACACAAGTCGTATTTACACTATCTTACTAGTATGATATTTTTAATTGATATTAGTTTAGTATCTAGGAATATTTTTCTAAAATATTTATAGAAATAAATTTTCCACATTCATGAATACGATATAAGGAATTAAAGATATTTTCTCACTTATAGAGTTTGGTAAATCAATAATATTGAAATAATAAAAAAAAACACGTTTCATTCTATATATCTATGATTCATCAAAAAGTTGTAAAACAGAATTATTTTTATACACGCTTTTTGTATAAAATAATTACATTTACGTCATAAGCTTGCCTTGGAATTAATTATGAATTTAGCATTAAAAATAATTAATAGGTTTTTACGACAACAAATAAAAAATAAGTGAAATCTATCACAAATATGTTTTCGTTAAAATGAATATTTAAATATATGCATCAAAAGGTGTAATGCAAAAGTATTGAGTTTTGAAGCTCAAAGTCAAAGGAGAAAAAGGCTGCATAACAGTATGATTTAATTACTAAACATTTAAATATAACTAGCTGACCCGGCAGACTTCGTAGTGCCTCGATCGATAAATAAAAGACCTAAACTTTTGTATAAAATAAACTTAAAACAAACAAAAGGAATCCGTCTGACGCGGGGACACATCAAAGGAAAAACAAAATTGTAATTTTTTTAATTCCGTGCATTTTCATATTTATCTACCTTTTAAGCCTTCTCTGAACTTCCACAAAATAATTCAAGACCAAAATTAGCCAAATCGGTCCAGCTGTTCTCGAGTTTTAGCGAGACTAACGAACAGCAATTCATTTTTATATATATAGATATAGATTAAACGTATAACAACTTACTGTACTATTATTATATAAAATGTTACACATTATATTATGTATTTACACTCGCACTAGTGGTCCTATATCCATGCAAGATCCTCGGACGGCTAACTGATAGGTAATGTTATTAAGGAGATAAGGCTGGGCCATTAAATTTTTGGTTTTCATACTCAATAATAGTACATTGTGCACCATGGGAGAAAAGTAGAACATTTCCTCCCGCGTGTAAAATTGCCAGACACGCGGTATGAGATGTCCTACTTTTTTCCCACGGTGCACATACTATTTTTTCTCCTGTCAGGCCGAAAGTTCGTGGAGTACCGAGCCGGGGTTCAGAGGCGAAGCCCTGGCAGGGGGTAGGGGGGCAGAGCCCCCCCATATACTTATGGGGGGCTACTTAATTTTTAAATAAAATAGTACTAATTGAATAAGAACTGTCTGATGAACTCATCTTTGTTTAATACTTCACTATTAAATTTTATTGCCTTTTGTTTATTTCACTTTTACACTAAACACAATATTGCAAATTGCCCGAGCACAATAATGGCGGATAATTTTAGGTGCGTGAGAGCAGCCGTAGACATAACGCGCATGCGCACCTGTCAGTACCCAGGGAGGAAAAGTTACACTTTCTTCCCTGTACAGCGGGAGGAAAACCGAACTTTCGACGTAGGTAGAAGAAAAAACATTTCAACAATTAAAACGGATTTCCGTTTCTTTTTTTATTTAAAATTAAAAAGGTATAAATAGGCAGGATCATGGTATCTACCCGCGTGGTATCATGCTGGGCCAACAAATAATTGCAAATATAACTTGAGGGGGTTTTTATTTAATTACAATACTATATTTCCTCAATGTACATGTCATTCGAGAATACATTCTATCCACGTATTTACTTAAACAAATCGGTAGCTTCTTGCATGAACTAAAATATTTGCATCAGTCGATATGGTTTACATCCTTAAGGAGCCTTATTATAGGCCACGCACAATCCTTAAAACCACAACATAAAGATCGATATTTAATTAAAATAATAAGGTATTACCCATATCCCAAAACATAATATCTTATCACTGAAGAAGGAACACTTCATTATCCACATGACCTTTATTAAGTACTTTGATTTTTATTGGACAGCTATTAACTGAGACACATTGATTGTTGAACGTACTTAAATTTAAGAATTTCAAACCTTTAATAAGCAAAATGTATAAAAGGAAATCGGTTTTCAAGAACCATTGTTGTACACCTTAAATTCGGGCAGTTTAAAAAGTTACATATATTGTTTGAAAATTGGAAAATAACCACTAAATCATTCCAACTTCAGCCTTTACAATTATGTTTGGGTCTATATCTAGATTGGTCACCTCACGTCGCCTATCAGCGTTCCAAAAGCTAACAGCAATGGCGTCAAAAGAAGTGTCACATAACTGGATTTTGTTTTCACGCCACTCTGAAGTTCAGCTAGACTTGAGCCTGTGAACAAATTTTGAGATAAGCTTTTTTTTGTTTTAAACGGTGCAATTAGTGTTTTGTTACTGTTTAGACGGGTGGATATGCTTATGGCTTGCCTAGAGTTAAGTGGTTACCAAAATCCATAGACATCAATAACCTAAATGCTACTACCCACTTTGATTCAAGGGTTCTAAGTCTTCACTTTATAGTAAAGCAGCTTCCCCAGCCTTCAAACCGAAAGACAACTGCTTCAAGGCTGGAATAGGCACGCCCTACCACTAGTAATACCTACCATGTACTAGCCACCAGTTGTTCAATTTTTGCAATGAAATCAAAAGTAAAAAAACATATGGCAGTTATTACCTCAATAGGTTTGCAACCCCCCTGGTATAAAAGTAGTGTTAGGTTACTAACTGATAAAATACTCTTCTTGAGTCTCTTTTCAAAAAACTTATATTGCAGCGCTTTGAAAGTACGGTCAGGAATCAAAACGTCTATCATATAGAAGGAATGACCCCGATATACGACTTCACTGATATGTCAGCCCGATAGTACCTATTTCTCTCGGAATTCTAAAAATATCTTTGAACTAGAGATGCCGCAGTAGTCGAAATTCGACTATAATTAATTGGAAATGTATAATAAGTTTTTACACTATTATGATTGTATTGTATACTTCTATAATCACAAATTTCGCCAAGGCTTCATTATAAAAAAATATTAATAAAGACAAACAATATTTAATCTATTCTCAATTTGACCACAGACGTCAAGAACAAAAGTTTGAAAATAAATAGTATGCATGCGTGTGTGCGCCAATTAAGTGGTATGTAGTGTGTGTAATGTTTTCTTTATTGATTTAACGTATCTTTTATGCCTTATTTAAAAAAAATATTAGCATTGTGCACTTGTTCTCTATATTCTCTATAAGTCTGGAAAATTTCATACTCCTCCGTCTGCGCAATTTTCGTAAAAAGAGATACAAAGTTTTTGCTTCACGTATTAATATATAGATGAAACGAAAAATAATATATTACTACACAAACTTTTATATGAAATTATTCCTTTACAACTTTCTTATATCTATATCTCACATTCATAATAACCTTGCTAGTCTTATTTTTTATCATGTCCAAACTTTTATTTCATAGTAGTTTAGATTAGCTCTCATCCGTTGAATGTCATTCAAAGTGACCAACGCATTATATCATCCAATGACTTGCATATACTATAAGACACAGTACAAGTCGTTGTGGTGGTGTGGTACCAATTTTTATAAGGAAATACGGACTCAACAAATATTCACGATTGACTTTCACGGTGAAGGAATAACATAGTGTAATAAAAATGAAACTCACAAAATTATAATTTGCGTAATTAATGGTGGTAGGACCTCTTGTGAGTCCGCGCGGTTAGGTACCACCTCCCTGCCTGTTTCTGCCGTGAAGCAATAATGCGTTTCGGTTTGAAGGGTGGGGCAGCCGTGTAACTATATTTAAGACCTTAGAACTTATATCGTAGTATATCGTATTATGTCGTAGATGTCTATTGGCTCCAGTAACCACTTAACACCAAGTGGGCTGTGAGCTCGTCCACCTTTTTAGGTAATAAAAAAAAACATATTACGTATCGTCACGAAGCAATTATGTTTAAAAGATAAGACACCCATATTAAAATACAATTGAGAATCATCTCTCATATCTCAAGTAGGTAGGAGGTATTGACGCTTTATCCATAGACCGCAGTATCCAATTAACAAAAAATATCTCTCCAAACGTTGTAATAATTACAGTTTATTATCCAAATCTATCCTAAGGCAGCTAGACATCCGAAAAAGGCTCTCTTCCATCTGCCGGGAATGTGTTATGAGCTTCTTCGGACACATCATGCGGTCTCCCAGACATGAATTAGAGAAGCTCATAATTACGGGTCGAATAGAAGGCAAGCGCGCCGTGGGCAGAACACCAACGAGATAATCAGATCTAGCAAGAGAAGCACTTGATGGTAGTCTGTACCATGCAGTCCATGCCACCCATGACATTGGAAGTACGTCGTATGTGGTCACGATCCTCAGTAGTGAGGGAACGATATAAAAGAAGATCCAAATATTTATTCTCAGGGCTTATTAAGTCCAACTTTTCGTTATAAAAATCATTGCTGAAGCAGAGAAACGAGTGATTTCGGTACAGTATGTAGGGGAATGATACCCCGCCCCGCTTAGCTTCCTATGAAGTTATTGTGCATATAGTAATGAGCAGCATACGTTAGTCAGTCAACGTGCAGCGATCCACCGCGGTCGCTGACGCGAATAAACATGTAATTATACGTAGTGTTTTATTGACCACTCTGATGAGGTTTCCGGAGGAGAGCACGCAACAAACAACCAACGCACACGCCTCTTCCTCCTTTATCTCCCAATAAACCTCACACCTTAGTTAGTAGTTAGGTTTTGTCGCTGTATGTGAAACTAAAGTAACGAAGTTTTCCCCAAAGAATAATAATATCTAAGCTTTCAGTACGTACACAAATCTTGGTTGATTCAACGGCAAAGCGTACAAGTTCCTTAATTTCTTAACTAAAACATATTTCTCTGTAATCAAGCCGCTCGCAATAAATACTAGAGTAACAGTGATTGTCAAAGTGACGTTTCTGTACGATTATTTTGTTCCTTCAATTACATAGTCTATATATTAATACGTGAAGCAAAAACTTTGTATCCCTTTTTACGAAAATTGCGCGGACGGAGGAGTATGAAATTTTCCACACTTATAGAGAATATAGAGAAGAAGTGCACAATGCTAATATTTTTTTTAAAATAATGCATAAAAGATACAATAAATCAATAAAGAAAACATTACACACACTCATGTATTTGACGCACACACGCATGCATACTATTGATTGGCAAACTTTTGTTTTGACGTCTGTGGTCAAATTGAGAATAGATTAAATATTGTTTGTCTTTATTAATATTTTTTTATAGAGTAGCCTTGGCGAAATTTGTGATTATAGAAGTATAAAATACAATCATAATAGTGTTCAAACTTACAATTCCAATTAATTATAGTCGAATTTCGACTACTGCGGGACCTCTAGTTCGTGTAATTTTTTCTTTGTCTCAAATAGCTTATATAGCATTTTGCTAACTTTAAGCTAATGCTTAATACCACCAAATTGCTTTCATTGAGTAAAACATCAAGAATTATTTACAAAACATCGTGTTCTAAACAAACCAAAAGTTTAACCCACTCAAATTTGTTTAAATAGTTCAATTACTTTGTGTAAAGCAAGTACCCGAATATACTTCATCTCTAGGATAGTCACTTAAAAGGAGGGCATCGTAAAACTTTGAGAGCCACTAACCTCGACTATTAGAAACCGAGTAAATAAGACACCCAACACTTTGAGCTATAATATACTAGAAACTTCGTCAAGGATCTTGTGTTCAAGACTATTTATTATACGGATGCCTTTTGTGTCAGTTTCACAATTAGAAAGTTGTCAAAGTTATTTTATTATTATGACAATTGAAGGTCTGAAAATAGTTTTAATAAACATTACTTGTTCACAATAAAATGGAATACCGTTTCAAGTAATTTAGTGTAGAATTATATTATATACGACACATTTTTACATTTATAATATGTGTAGCTAGCAAGCAGGCTTCTGCGATTCTTATCGTTTCCTTATCAAACCCTTTTTTCTTATAGAAACCATATAATATAGATCGAATTAGATAGAGCCAAGATTAAGATAGTTATGGTTATAATAATAATAGTTATTATAATAAGGGATCCCTTTTTTCCAAGAACATTATAATATCATTTACTTTTATTAATCTGTATAAGAAAAACTTTGACCGTTTTAAGTGGATTTCGCTATTATAATCAATTACTCAGTTTGCTATTAAACTAAAAAAGAATTTGGTCAAACTTAAACTTCTAAATGTAAATTGATGAATTTGATAAAAGTTATAGTTGTTTTTTTTAATTTTTTTTTATTGCTTAGCTGGGTGGACGAGCTCACAGCCCACCTGGTGTTAAGTGGTTACTGGAGCCAATAGACATCTACGACATAATACGATATACTACGATATAAGTTCTAAGTCTCATTTTTTAAAGTACAACGGCTGCCCCGCCCTTGAATCCGAAACGCATTATTGCTTCACGGCAGAAATAGGCAGGGAGGTGGTACCTAACCGCGCGGACTCACAAGAGGTCCTACCACCAGTAATTACGCAAATTATAATTTTGCGGGTTTCATTTTGTTCCAGAAAACTTGCTGTTACGAATTTGAGATAAGCTTAGTAATGGAAAAAGCTTTAGCAAAAGCATAATTAAGGAAACGATCCTTAAAAGGTACAATAATTTTTTAATTCTACTTATAATTCAGCAGTAGGAAAAACCAAAACATCGATAGTGCATATGAGTGAGGTCTTGCTGTAGACAATTTTTTTTATTTTTTTTTTATTGCCCTTGTAGGCAGATGAGCATACGGCCCACCTGATGGTGAGTGGTTACCGTCGCCCATGGACTTCAGCAATGCCAGGGACAGAGCCAAGCCGCTGCCTACCGCTTAATACTCTCCAGAAGCCTCGTTTGAAGAAGGACATGTCATAGCGCTCGGGAAACACCGTGGAGGGGAGCTTATTCCATAGCCGGATGGTACGTGGCAAAAAAGATCTCTGGAAACGCACTGTGGATGACCGCAGTGGCTCTAGGTAATTGCACAATATAAAAAAAAAAATATTCAAATATCCCTTTGCTATTCGAATAATACATTTATGTCTTCAAGTACTATAATATAAAGTAGGATGTAATAACAGGCCAAACTAAACATTGAACTAATTTATTTCATCCTATGGGAAGCCTTTTCGAGATATTAAGTCAAACTATTCAAATTATTATAATATCATCATCGGTTCTTAATACATCTGCAAACTTTCTCGTTAACCGAACGCTTTAAGCTGGTTACTTTAATTGCATAAAAAATTCAGTTACATAAATCTATTTATGTTGATCAGTGACCTGTGTGAAGCTAATAAGGGCGTGTTAAAAAAAATATGAATTAAACTAAAAAAACCCTCAGTTTTCCGTCCTGCGCTAATTATTAAACAATTTAACACTATACTCATAAAATTTAACAAACTGTTTCTAGATTCAACAAAAAATCCACAAAAGTCTAACTAAGAAACGCTTTCTGCAACAGATTCATCCAATATTTTTTTTCTTCATCAAATTGAACGACTGTAACTGACCCACGGGAACTATATCTGCTGATGCCTCGCCAGCTATAATAACATTTATTGTGCATGAACAACAATAACAAAAAAAAAGAGAAACGTACAGTATAATTGCCGGGTCGAGCGTGAAATTGAGAAAAAATATTGGCGTAACCTTAAGAAATACACAAGGAAAAGTTTCTCGCTTGAGTTAATGTAGCTCGTGTGCCAGCTGCAATGTTTTGTGGAAATTTGGGTGGGCGAGGTTGGAGTTTTCGAGCAGAAGGCAATGTGTTTCAGTTTCAATTACAATTGATTTTTATCGTTTCTGACTACTCGACTGGTTTATGTCAGCATAGACAACGCAAATGCGCCACCCACCTTGAGATATAAGTTCTAAGGTCTCAAGTATAGTTACAGCGGCTGCCCCACCCTTCAAACCGAAACGCATTACTGCTTCACGGCAGAAATAGGCGGGGTGGTGATACCTATCCATGCGGACTTACAAGAGGTCCTACCACCAGTAATTACGCAAATTATAATTTTGCGGATTTGATTTTTATTACACGATGTTATTCCTGATTAACGGCCGTCTGGTGTAGTGGTAAGTGACATGGTCACTACACAAGGGAGTCGCGGGTTCGAATCCCGCCAAGGGAAGATATTTGTATGATAAATATAAAAATGTCTTTTCCAGGGTTATGGATGTATATTAAATATATGTATGTGTATAATAAAAATATTACATTTATTTCCGTTATCTGGTACCTGTAACACAAGTTCTTTACGAACTTACCACGGGACCAGTTAACGTGGCGTGATTGTTAGTAAATATTTATTATTTATTTATTTATTCCTTTACCGTGGAAGTCAATCGTGAACATTATTTGTTGAGTACGTATTTCATTACAAAAATTGGTACCCGCCTGGGATTCGAACATTGATGTATCGCTTCAACACGAATGCACCGAACGTCTTGTCCTTTAGGCCACGACGACTTCACAAAATCTCCCAAATTTATCTCCAAATTATCTCCCAAAACATAACTAACTATTCGGGCTATAACATAGACCTGAGATCATGTTTGCCGCTTTCGTGTTTAAGGTTTATTTTTGCTCTATTTAGGCTGATGAACCACAGATCTGCCTGGTATTATTTAGATATATCGATGTCACTACCTTAAGACTTGAGGTCGAAGACTTTACACGTTTTCCAATCCTTCAAATTGGATCGCGTAACATGACTACTTCACTTTTAACCTTAAAATATACACATTTATAAAAAAGAAAAAAAAGTACCAGCTACCAACCTTGCAATACGTGAACTCTTGTAACAGCTTTCATTCGGATTGGAGCTTCCAAAGCACACGTGTAATTCCCGGCATCCTCCATTTTTAGACGAGCGACCTTTTCAAAAGAAATTACAAATTATAAGGCACATATTTTTAAATTTCGCGAAAATGTTTCATTCAGAGAATCATGTTTTTTTTTTATCTTAAAAGGACAGACCAGCTCAGAATCCACTTAAGACTTAGCGCTTACCGAAACCTATACTATATTTAAAGTTGAGAGATCAGATCTATCGATCTGTGTCTTATCTTCAGTTCTTGTCAGTATTCTTATATTATGGATGGAAGTTCTGAAAATTTCTGCAGAAGAGTTTCTGGAGAAAGGAAACCTGTTGGTGATTGTCTAATATCAATTCCAGATTCACGCAATGCCAGCGGCACAATTAATCTTCTCTCTACCATTGAGCTTTTATCAAAGACATCTAAAGCCTTTTTTTTCTAAAAAAATTTTTTATTATTACCTATGCTGATAGCCTTGAGAGGCTATTTCAGCTTCATCCTAACGTGTAGGTGAGCTCACGGGGCTCAAACCGGAGTGTTGCTAACACTGGCCCTAGTAAGAGCAGTGCTCTACTAGGGCCATCTACCATTTCCGATCTACCACTGGATCGGAAACGCGACCCACTGAGAAGATCCGGCGAGCAACTCAGTGGGCTGTGTCTGTGGGTTAATTCGCTCGTCGAGGCCCTCGTCGCAAGTAACGGGTTCGACGAGGACGGTGACCGGTGCTTGTAACTAAAAGCACCGTTAATGGATCGGGAGAATCCGTAATGACGTATTTTGGGCGGTCTATTTTATAGTCCTACACATTTATATTAAATTCAACAGCTCGAGTCATTCTCTTACTCCATTTTCTAATTCCAATTCATTAATATGAAAGCTAATGCTTAGATTTTTCCTAGTCTACCTATATTTAGGTTTCATCTTAGATTTCATACGATCCCATACTAAAGGCCTTCAAAAACATCAAGCCTAAAGCTTCTCAGGTCATTAATATTCACCCTTAAATATTAGCTTTTAAGTGTAAGCTTCTACGAGGGGCTAAGAAAAAATGGTTGGCTCCGCAACGTTATTCTCGTTGAAATTTAGGGGTGTACACCACTTACGTTGTACCCGCAAAAATATAGAGGTAATTTGGACGCACGGGTAGAAATGGCCTTGAGGCAGTAACTTTGGACCAGGGTTCGAGTGACAGCGGTGTTAGTTATAGCTTAATAAATTTGGCTGGATAAATAAATCTAATACTGATAGATATAAAATTTGCCTTTATTTTTTTAGTGACCCATAAATTAATCTTTCTCAATTATTCGAATAATCTTATTGAAGATTGCATAACAGCTGTTCTATTCGTCGATCCAGAGCCCAAAATTGTTTTGCGACAGATTAAAAGATGACAGTGCCTATGATGTGTGTGACACATGTGTTAAGACAGCAATGGTGCTGATGATGGCATAGGCACCTATTTACCAGTAAAAACATCTAATATGCCAATGACCATTCGCCGTCGCCAAGATGACACTTCATATGCAGAGCCAAGCCCTTCCTGACCACCTGAATCGCTTCTAAGCGCACCATACAATTTTGTGCCCTACCGTCGTTTCGTTTACTACCCTAAAGACATCTCCTAACTAGGCATAAAGCTTTAAAGCGGCCATAGCATACTCGTTTGTACACTAATCTAGTTTATAAACTTAATTTTATCTGTTTTATCTTTGAATTAAGCCAGTTTTTTACGAGCTCTCGTTACTGTACAATTGTATTTAAAAGTGCCTAAAATTTGTATCCTACATCCCAGGGGTCATGTCCATGTAAGTACACAGGACAGCGTCATTGTTATGAAATCTACCTAAAACAGGATTTGAGGTTGTGTGATTGCCATTAAACTTATTGGCTTGACGTCAATTTTTTATTGCCTTCAAGGCAGATCAGCGTACGGTTCACCATATGGTGAGTGGTTACCGTTGCTCATGGTCATCAGCAATGCCAAGGACAGAGCCTGCTGTATACCGTCAACCCATATTAACTCCGGATTTAGTATTTTATTAAATCTCTTTTAGTTGACAAAACTGTCAATCTTTGGCATGAACCACTATATACTAAAAGACGTCTTCTGTTCTTGAAAGTTTTCAACCAGCAGTTTAGATAGAGTGTGATGCAGGCATCAGAATTTGGCGATCTTGTGCAAGCATTTGTGTTTGGACATTTGGTGCGCAAGCGTGGTATGGACATGTGATGCGTAGAGAGATGATGCATGTGACTAAGAGATGTATGGAAATGGTAGTGCAAGGTAGAGGGAGAAGAGGTCGACCGAAGAAGACATGGATGGAGTGTGTGAATGACGATATGAGAGAGAGAAAGGAGTGACTGTTGAGATGACGGCTGATAGAAGAGAATGGAAGAGAACAATTAGCTGTGTCGACCCCACCTAGTGGTATAAAGTGGAGAAAAAGAAGAAAACAGTGCAAGCATGTGTTTGACCACATATAAAAATGTCTGAATTTGCAGCTTATTTAGAGACTCCAGTAATTATCTAAAACACCAGTTAAATTTTAAGTTTGTGTCCTCCAATACCAAACAAAAACAATCAATTTGAAACTTTAAAATCTAATCTTAAGATGCGACATTGCTACTGTGCTATTGATATTGCTATTACTTACGACCCGTACAATTATAGTAGAAACATCAAACAAACCCACCTGTAAATGACTCGTCAAAGTTAAATGGTCGGTTTCAATTAAAACACCTCCTCTTGCTTCGTCCAAGGACAGGGTACTGTTCCCTCTGTACCAATGCATTTCTGGTACATCCTCGCCGGGATGTAGATTTAGAACAGCGCATTTTAGAGACAACGTTTCGCCTGTTTCCAAAAATGCTTCTTTGCTTAATCTCATTGCGGGAACTGCAAAAGGAATGACTGGTTAGTCAATAATTAAATTTGTTATTATGTGTTTTGACCAACCATATTAACCGAAAATATAAATACGCTTTTATTAGTTTGGTATGCATGTATGTTTTCTTTAGTATGTAGCGGAATTCGAACAACCTTTTCGCCGATTTTCAAGATGTCCAACTGCACATGCATCGAGGACCGATAATCAAACAATAAATCGCTATAATAATCCGACCGGTGTTAATGGGATAGAAATATTAAATTAACTAGTTTGTTTTGTAATTTTTTGTTTTTTTAAGCTGCATATAGAACTACATTATTTGTAAGTATGCTGGTCTACCTACGAAAAAATAACCGCTTAAAGTATACCAAAATAAAATATGGAACACTTACGGTGCACATTTAATTGAAACCTCCTAAGCATGGGCGGATGTGTGGACACATGACAGCAGTAGACTCCTGAATCTGACACCTTAGCATCGGCAAGAGCTAGCTTCCAGTTCTCGCCAGCTAAATCGACTCTGTACCTGTATAAGGAAATGTATCTGGTACTGGTACTGGTATCGGGTATAGCAATTTGATGAATATGATGGGTTAGAAGGACAGGCGTTTTGTAATTCTTCAATAAACGCAGACTTACCCCTCATGTTTGGCTTTGAAGCCATCATAACCTAATGGATAAGTTGTAGTTGTTGTTATGTGTTGTTGTTTGAAGTGTAGCTTTAGAACTCATATGTCAATAAAAAAGAAAAAAGGCGGGTGACATTATTCATGCTATGAGCCCCGTTGGCTATTTCATACCAGACGCCCAGAGAGCTTGTCTTTGGTATAAAATTTTTATCTCGATCTTGTGTTGAGACTCGGATTATTCATCATTTCTGCGACTCCTAATACAATGAAATGACATCATGACAAAATACCCTATTTGTTGAAAAGCTTCACTGAGCTTAGTGAGCTCCCCTGACGTTTTTCTATTCCTAAAGCCCGCCTCAAATAAATCACAGCAAAATTTTTCTAACAGTGTTAAACTTTTCTAGCCATATATATCGGTCTTGCTCGAGAAAATACACACAAAGCGCTCTTTGAGCTTGTAAGGCTACGTTCACACGATCGAACTTTCCGTTGAGCTTTTCAGTTTGTTTATTGTTTGTGTGAACTTTGAAGCTATTTTCATACAAATGTAACGAATCTGTTTAACATGGCATCTTTTGTTTCTCTACTTGTTTAAAAAAAACCATTGAATTTGTCATTTCACTAACGTGCTAATTAAAGAGAAGGATGTTAAGTCTATAACGCCATGCTTGCTAGTGCCCAAATGAGAATGGTGCCCGATCGAACATTATGGCATGAAATGAGGAGGCCTTATACCCAGTGGGTACCAAGGGCTGAAAGATGATGATGTTCACGATGTAGTTAACATGTTAGAGTTCCATTGAATTTCTCTGATCTTACACAATATTTTTCTACATCTTGCCTTTATCCCACATTACGTGGAGGCAGCTCAGCTATCCGATAGGTTATATGATTAGCATCTTATTAATATAAACACATTTACATCAGATTTGCAATACCAAAACTATCACAGTTTAAAATAAGCTTTTCTTTATTTTCATCTACCCCCAAAAACTGTTATTCAAGTTATTCAGAACAATTAACAAAACTAACACACGAAAATCACGAAAAGAATTTTAGGTTCATATTGCTCTTGAAATAAGGACCTCGGTTGTATGCCTCCTAATATGATTCAAATTGTGACGTGTTTTGCATAGCACGCAATGTATTGAGTAACCAACTGACGAGCGGGGTCAACAACCTCGAGGGATGGTTAGTGTCGACTGCCAGCTGGCTTGGCTTTCCATTCCGTGTACATGTATAGTGAGCTTACTACATATAATAACAACAAGCTTAATGAACAATGTTTTCAGATTTTTTTGTTTCACTTTGTACCATATGTTTATTTGCCTTTGAAACTATCTTTTTCCCCCTTTATATAATATATTATATACTCTTTGAGGGTGAAATATTCTATAATCTACGTCTGTGTTAGAGTATATTAAATAATTATTTCGTTTTCGTTTCAAAAGAATGTAAACTTACAAACGTACATGAAAACTAAGTGTTATACACAAAACAGAACTAAGTTTTCTATTGTTAGAAATATACAAAAACATAAAATGTACTTATACTCCGTAATTCAATTTTTTCTCGCGTATTTTCTGCAAACGTTATGCATGAGACGTAACAATGACTTTACCTGGCGTCAGCTGTGTGTGTTTCTAAGTCTACGGTAAGCAGCTCCAAGTTTTCATTATCCGCAACACGAATCCAGGACACCTGCGATGAATTTTAAGTGTTTCAATATATTTTTTTGATACCTACATTAGTATTATAGCTACAGAGTGTTTTTTTTATTCTAGAGCATTTAATATTATTATTTTTCATCCAAAACGAACTCTCTACAGCAACAACACCCTTTAACCTATGCCTGGTCTTTTAAGTAGTCGCTGGAGCCAGTGGACATCAACTACATAACGCTGCCAGCCCAACTTGAGACATGAGTTCTGAGTCTTAGGTTTTACAGTACAACGGCTGCCCCGCCCTTCAAGCCGAAATGCATTACGGCAGATATAAGCAGGGTGATAAAACCTACCCGTGCAAACTCAAACAACGCTCTATATCCCAGTACGATTGAAAATAAAAAATAAGGACCCGCGGAGAGATGGGAAGATATTAAAGTAAGCTTCGCAAACAAGATCCATTACCGTTTTGTCCCTTAAAGCTGTTACGCGACAGTCGAAGACAACTGTTGAGCCTGTGTCGGCATCGATTATAGTATCTTCGGACGTGACGTCATCAAATGATGGCGGTCTGAACCTGTAACAAAGGTATATTGTCAACTCACAGTCCACATTCCAGTTCAGAAATTACCGAAGTCGAAACTGCGACGTGACGCCAAGACTTAACGGCCAAATCGAAAGCGCCTTTGAATTGACAAATGCCAATATCCTTCATCTCTGATTTTTGATGGCTTTAACATCGAAACAGGTCAATAATAGCCTCTCAGGAGGCGCCGGAGTCCGACATAACCCGGTTCGTTACCCCCCGGACCGGGTATCCGTAAATGGATTCCCCAGCGATAAAAAAAAAAAAAAAAAAAAAAAAAAAAAAAAAAAAAAAAAAAAAAAAAAAAAAAAAAAAAAAAAAAAAAAAAAAAAAAAAAGGGGTCGTGGATTCGATTCTCACATTGGGCAAATGTTCGTCTCATGAACAGGTTTGTTTGGCTACACGGTAACCTCTCACCATCAGGTGGGTCATATGCTCGTCTACATACAAAATAAAAAAACATATTTAAAACCTATTGACATATTGACGTCAGCAATGTATTATGGGTACATCAATCGCGGCATATTACGACAAATTTTTTTTTTTTTCTTTGTCATATTTCTGGAAATCTTAATTATGCGAATCTAAGTGTGCCTTTGAAGTTATTGGGGTCCTTATTCAATCAAATAGCAGGTTTTGATTTTCGCTTTTTTTTTGTATGCGCATATGCATCTACTACTGGACCAAAATCACAAACCGCTGAGAAGATGCGGCTAGATATTCGGTGAACCAGTTTATTAGATTTGAAGCATTCGTTATTAAATTTAACGTAAAGTCCGTATCTAAAAATAAGCTTCCGGTATACGTAGCTGAGCGAATATTATCCTATCTCCGAAGTTTAGCTTATTGGAAGTTACCTAAATATTTGTCCACAAACATTCTGTTTTTGTATTTCCTTCTTTACTATTCTCTTGTTCGTGAAATATTGTTCTTCGAATAAGATATAAAAAAACAATAAAACCAAAATACACGAGTTGTTTCTGTATTGTTTATTTTAGAATAAACAGCCAATATGTCTGTGTAGCTCTCGCGGCCTAAGCGATGCGACTGCAATTAAAATCAGACAGGGGCCAATTTATTTCAGTAAATACAATTTTATTATAATATTCACAAACGACTTCCATGTTAGAGGAATAACATCATAACAGAATAATTAAACACGTAAAATACCTAAATTAGCGTAGTTACTTAGAGACTTGAGTTATGAGACTTGTAATTGGTGGATTTTAGCATTCAGACTTCAGCAAGCGTTATACAGCGAGTGGGCTGTGAGCTGGTCCAAGCTTCTGCTTCTTCTTTATGTTCTTATTTCACATTATGGGGGGTCTGTCCAGAATGATGCTGTATTAGGATTTAGCATGAGTTTTACTACCGGCCGCTCCACTAACGTCAAATCTTCTTGGGTTATATGTCCAATTGTATATCCATCGCAACATGCCATAGCATACCCGATCCTGTGGATCGAATGGTAAACAGTCGACGTCGCCTTAAAAACGTCAGTACGGATCCTCCCGATCCATTAATGGTGCTTTTAGGTACCTCAAGCACCGGTCACCATCCTCGCCGAACCCATCGCTTGCGACGAAGGGCTCGACGAGTAAATTAACCCATAGACACAGCCCTCTGAGTTTCTCGCCGGATCTTCTCAGTGGTTCGCGTTTCCGATCCGGTGGTAGATTCTGCGAAGCACTGCTCTTGCTAGGGCCAGTGTTAGCAACGCTCTCGGTTAGAATCTCGTCAGCTCACCTACACGTCAAGGAAAAACTAGGTAAGAAAAAAAAAGCCGTAGGCAGACATTCTGTTTCTTTTACATTATCTGTTTTTTGTTTTATGATTTGCATTTTATTGTTACAAACATTCGTGAGCACACATATAATTCAATAATCGAGATACAACACATTTGCTTTGGGCTAACCAAAATATGGCAATAAGTTTTTCGAAAAAAAAAATCGCGATAATTGCGTAAAGTGATTTACGATGAGCGTTTCGTCGGCACGCAATTTCCAATTTTGCTAACAGTAATTCTGCCTTTTTCACGTATAAAGCCCGCAACAACTTGATTGATACTTTTAATTTCCTGTCATCGTGGAAGCTGAATTTCAAAGCTCGTATAATCGTACGCTACCTGTTTCAGTTGGGTTTGCATGAAAACCATCGATTATTATTTTGCGGCTTACAAGTTGTGTTCGAAACCAATCCGTTAATTTTTGAATTTTTACCACGGCAACACGGGTCGCGATTTGACGGTGCCTTCGCGATTTGACATCTGTCACTTTGTCTTGCTTCTCGAACGGGACGGTACCTGCAAATGTGACGGTCTACGCTAAAGTATTGTATCATCGCCAATCCTTATCCATTCCTGCCCTATACCCTTCTCCCTGAGTGATACGGCGTGAGAAGACGAAGTCATCGGTTCCGGTGAGTGATTGCATGATATTTTGTTAAAATAGTACATACGGCGCCGCGAATCACGGCACATGTTCGGCGCGCACCTCGTGCTGGTTTCCGGAGCCCTAGGCTGCCACGAGGGCGCTGGGTTCGGATCGGTAGAAAGAGAAAGAATGTTATGACGTAGAAGCTCTTGATGGAATTCTGAGATGCCTTAGGTGATAAATTCTGCATGATTCATGTTTAGTGCTTTTTTATTATTATTATTTTATTGCTTAGATGGATGGACGAGCTCACAGCCCTCCTGGTGTTAAGTGGTTACTGGAGCCCATAGACATTTACAACGCAAATACGCCACCCACCTTGAGATATAAGTTCTAAGGTCTCAGTATAGCTACAACGGCTGCCCCACCCTTCAAGCCGAAACGCATTACTGCTTCACGGCAGAAATAGGCGGGGTGGTGGTACCTACCCGTGCGGATTCACATGAGGTCCTACCACCAGTAAAAAATCATATCAAATCATAAATATCTAATCATAAATGTTTCAGTTGGGTTTGCATGAAAACCATCAATTATTTTGCGGCTTTCAAGCAGAAATAGAAAGAATGTTATGACGTAAAAGCTCTTTATGGACACCAGGGTGCCTTCGGTAATGAATTATGCTTGATTCATGATTAGTGCTTTCTCATTCAGCCCACAGACGTCCACTGCCGGACATAAGCCTCCTCTAAGGCTCGCCATAACGACTAAGCTAATAAAATTCTAATTGTTTTTTTTTCCTACCTATTCTAGTAACTTCGGGGGGTTATACTAGATTTGCCGAATTAGTAGGTGAGCTCACGGGGCTCAAACCTGATGTGTAATTGATTTTAATATATTCTTGTTAATATTAATAGAAACGTGACTAATGTCCATAAATTTTTAAATGTAAAATAACTCAGTCGCAATTAATACGTACCAGATTGGGCACGTAAGCGTCTAGTTTTAGTTCGGGTTAGGTTAATTAATTTTATAGAATACTAGCTGACCCGGCAAACATTGTTTTGCCAAATATAAGATTTCTAGGGAATTTCTAGTGTAGAAAAAAAACTAACTTATTGTAAGTGTGTAAGGATGTGGTAAATGAGTGAAAGAGGTATGTAGTGCTGTGAACGATGAGGGAATATATAATAAAAATAACAAAACCTCATTCAACAATATAATACCTCATTATAACAAAAAAAAATGTACAAATAAAAAAAAACATGTTAGGGGTGGACAACCTTAATCACTTAGGGGTATGAAAAATAGATAGTAGCCGATTCTCAGGCTTACTGAATATGCATAAAAAATTTCATGAGAATCGGTCAAGCGGTTTCGGAGGAGTATGGGAACGAACATTGTGACACGAGAATTTTATATATTAGATTTTCGTTTTAAAATTCGAGTTTTTGGTCAGACGGGTTCGGTAACAGAACTAAAATCCTTGGAACGTACAAAATCAATGATTTTCAAACGATATAGGACGTTAGCCACATTTTTTTAAACTTAAACCTATTACATATTATTAACTTAGTTAATCTAGTCAAGTCGCTTATGATTTATGTACGAAGAGACATAAACTAATATTTTTTTTTTGTTCGTTAGATGGATGGACGAGCTCACAGCCCACCTGGTATTAAGTGGTTACTGGAGCCCATAGATATCTACAACGTAAATGCGCCACCCACCTTGAGATATAAGTTCTAAGGTCTCAAGTTTAGTTACAACGGCTGCTCCACCCTTCAAACCGAAACGCATTACTGTTTCACGGCAGAAATAGGCGGGGTGGTGGTACTTATCAATGCGGACTCACAAGAGGTCCTACCACCAGTTTATGGTTAAACTTTTTTGTTGTGAAAAAATTATTAGAGCTCAATCCGATGAATTATATTCGAGTTGAGAGACAAAACCATGTTCATGGATATGATGATGCGTTTAATAACGTTTTCGGCAACAGCTACCTTCAGCTGATTGATGATGATCACTGATGATTCTCTACTTCTTCTCTTCTTCTATACTAATATTATAAAGAGGAAAGATTTGTTTGTTTGTTTGTTTCGAATAGGCTACGAAACTACTGGACCGATTTGAAAAATTCTTTTTCCATTAGAAGCCGACATTGTCCCTGATGAACATAGGCTAGTTTTTTTTTTTTTTTTTGGTTTCATGTGTGTTTTAATGTTTCCGAAGCAAAGCGAGGGCGGGTCGCTAGTCTCAAATAAGTTTAATATCCAATTTCCCCAGTATATTTCTAGAAGATCTTCGATATCTCAATTCCATAATTGTAGAACGTATTTCTTAAGATTGATGGCGAAATTTATACTATGATACTATGGGTTGCTGAGACAGCTACAAAAGGACGTTTTTTCACTTAATCCCAATCCAGAAATATTTTCCAAGGTCCGAAACTGGTGACAAATATGTTTGTAAAATACTTATACGTACATACGTGTTATATGTCAGCATGTTTAAATATTAGCATAGCTTTTCTTGTCTTAACCGAGTTCGCAGAATGAATAAATAATGAACTGAAAGTAATAATCAGAACTCATAATTCACTAAGGGAATTGCGATGCTTAA